TGGATTTCTGGAGCGCACTGGGGGGGCTGATTTTGTGTAGCAATGCCGATTTCACTTGTACTCCTGGGGGAGATCAGAAGCCATCTCACCTCGACTACATCGTGGTTTGCCCTCCAGCTAGAGCGTACATTCGGGCTGTCACTGCCGTCTGTGCCGTCCCATGGAAACCACACATCGGATTATCCATCGAGTTAGTGGCGACTGGCAGTCAACTTTTCACTCGCTTTCTCGAGCTCCCCCCGAGGCTTCCCCGAGTCCCCAGGCCGTCGAAGCAGGCGGTCGAGGGGCCCAAGTCGAGCGTAAATAAGACCAAGAGGGACCTCGCTAGGCAGGCTGCTCGTGAGAAGAGGCATGCGAAAATTCGAGAATGGTTTGGAGAGAGTTTAGAGTCCCGTCGGCAGGTAGGTGATGAAAGCCAGTAGGGTACAGACGACGAGACCGACAAGGCCTCGGAGGCCTCCAGCGGCCATCGCGCCACCGATTGGGACAACATCTCCGAGTACGACCCGTGGGCCGACGAGAGCAACTTCACTACAGTTGCGCCGCCCGCGGCCCCGCCTGCCCCTGCCTTGCACGCCTCTCTCACAGTCGAGTCTCACACAGCCGCACCTCAGCCTCAGGAGACCGAGCGCCCCCCGAGCACAGCACCCTGCCCTACAGATGGAGAAGTCCACGGGTCTCACTCTTCAGTGGTGTTGTCTCAATCGGTGAGCTCAGGGTCCCCCGTGGAGTTTTCCGTCAGCGGTGAAACTTGGGTGCAAGCGAGGAAAAACGCCGGGTTCGTCCCGAGCGCCGCCTGCTTGCCTGCTGATGCTGCTGCCGACTCCGTAGCCTTTCGGCTCACGTCCCAAGACCCGGCAGCCCCACACATCAGTGCACGTTATTGTAGCTGGGTCCGCACGGTGGAAGAGGCAGTCCACGCCCACCACCAGCGGGCCACTCCATCCCTGTCGCGAGGGCAGGCGGCGAGTTTTCGCATCGGCACGGTGCAGCAGTCAACGGCCCAGAGGCTGGAACCGCTGCACGATAAGGTCTGTGGCTGGTGGACAAGGCTAGCTACCGCACTTTCGGCCCTGCTTCAGCATCGTCGTCGGGGCAACGGTTGCAAGCAGCAGGGCATCCTCATCCAGGCTATCGGCGCGCTCCAAAGGACCATCCCTGAGGAGGCGCATCGAGTACTTCGGAGACGGGATCCCCACACCTGGTCACAGTGGAAGTTGTTTCTGCAAGTGGTGGTATCAGGCGATCCCTCCGAGGCAGACCTATCGAGTGGCTGCGATTTCGCTAACAGACTTGCCAAGCGAAGTCAGCAGCGAGCAATACATCGTTCTATTTCTTCATTTCGTGACTGGGCAGAGTCGGCACCAGCCGTCAGCGCCCTACACAAGGCTATAAGGTCCTCGCCTCTAGCTCCCGATACAGTCGAAGTTGGTAATCGAACGCTCATCCATCCAAGAGATGTGCTCGATTATAAAACCCAGCAGTGGCGTGAGTTGTGGGCCCCGCAGGGGGGGGACCATGAGCAGTTGCTTGACCTCTTTGGAGTCATCAGGCGCCGCGTCCAGGAGGAGGCACTGCCGCCCATCGATGTCGCCGACATTCGTGCAGCGCTTCGACGTATGAGGCCCTCCTCGGCGATGGGTGTTGATCGGTTGTGTTCGTCGGATGTGGACCGCCTGCCAGACATTGCGCTGGCCGAATTGGCTGCACTGCTCACACTATGTGAACAGCATCAAGCGTGGCCACATCAGATTCTGATCACCATTGGTACATTATTACCAAAGAAGAGCAATGGAGATCGAGTTATAGGACCCCTTTCGCATTTCGCAAGGATGTGGTCACAATCGCGCGAAGGTTTTGTGAGAACATGGACGGACGAGTGCGAGTCGCATTGGGATGCCGCAGCGCGCGGCAACTCAGCTGTTCGGGAAGTGTTTCTTCGGGCTGTCGACGAAGAACTGGCAGGGCGGCTTGGAGTCGCGCACGGACATGGATTATGTGATATAGCTCAATTTTACGACAGTATGGGTTGGCATCGTATCGCAGCAGCAGCTCTTCTTTTGGAGTTTCCCGCAGAGATTCTTGGACTTGAGCTTCAGCAATGCATGGCTGTGAGGTGTGTCCGACAGTCAGGTGCATGCGGGCCTCCCTTCTGCCCGACGCGCTCCATCGTGCAGGGGCTGAGAGCAGGAACGAGGTTCGGCAAATGCGCTACACATTTCATCATGTCCAAGATCACCACCGCCCACGTGAACATGTCACATCGGCTGTGGGTGGATGATTTGTCGCAAGTTGCTTGGGGCTCTAGACTTGAGATGCGTCGGCAGATGATCAGATGCCTCCTCGACACTTGCCAGAACATGGAGTCGGCAGGGCTGAAGATATCTCCCAAGAGCGTCGTGATCTGCAGCCACATCGATGATGCCCGCATCATCACTCGCAGGATTGCAGCTCGCGGGTACAAGCTCAGGTATGCCAGCCAAGCTCCCTACCTCGGTGCTGATTTGAGTGGAGGTCGCAGGCAAGGTCGAGCAACGCGAAGGCCACGTGCCGTCAAGCATTATGCGATGTCGGTCAAGATCACTCGGTATGCTCGCACACTTCGCCGATATCACGTCACTCGTCGGCTCGAGCAGCAAGGAGCGGCCCCTGCGGGACTCTACGCCCATCATCTCCACGGAGTATTCGGGGGTCAGATGGCGTCGGTGAGGAGACAGCTTGCCAACGCATCAGCTCCGAGGTTGACGGGCAGGTGCGTCACCACGCTCCTCGACCTCAAGACACCGCTGAGGGACCCCGCCTACAGGCCCCCGCTGGACACGCTGAGGATGTGGCTGACCACGTGGGTGTCCGAGGCACATCTCCGAGCTGGCGTGAACCGCACCTGGACGGACATCGCTCAGGAGTTGGCGGTCCTCCCGCCTACGCAGCGATGTCGGAGGATTCGAGGACCTCAGGCAACAGTCATCACCTACCTTCTGAACGCAGGGTGGACTCCTACGACGGCCAGCTCGTGGGATATCCCTGATGGCACGTGCAGTTGGAATTTCAATGAGCAAGGTCTAACGGGATGCGCAGCGATCGACATCCCCTGAGAGTTTCTTTCAAGAGTTTCAAGTTTCTGTTCAGACCAATATTTGGGCTGACGCTGCCAAACACTTCGGCGGCAGTGGCATGGAAGGTGGAATGTCTAACCATTCTTACAGGCAGTTGCTTCAGCAACTAGAGCAAGGCCCTGGCGGGCCACGCTTGGCAGGCCTCATGCTTGCTGTGGCAACGGAGCTTCTTGGCCCAGGACCAGGCGGCAAACACGTTGCAAGCAGCAGATTTCGCAGGAGTGTCCACGGTGCCGAGCGGCGCCCGAGACCAGTTTTCACAGGATCTGGGGTTGCGAATCTCGTTCGGACAGCCCAGTTTATAAGTTGAGCGAATCGTACGTCAGCAAGGCCTATGCCCAGGCCGACGCTGAGGAGTGTTTCTGGACCAGGGGTCTTTTGCCGTCTTCTTGGGTAGCTGTCGAGAGTCCGCCCGATCGTGAGGTTTGGCACGTCTCGGCTGGATCTGAGTTTGTCGGTTTCGGCAGAGGAACGGTTTCACACCCCTTATACTTGTTCGGGGACGCCAGTGGAGGCAAGGAAACGCACCACCCCCTCCACCGTCGCGTCGGGATAGGCATCGCCCTCTTTCGCTCGTTAGACGATGACATGCACATAGATGTTGGCACGTGGGCTGCTCTCCCAGGATGTAGGCAGACAGTCGCTCGAGGTGAATTGTACAGTCTGTGGGTGTGTGTTCGCGAGAGTGCGGGACATATCATATACACCACAGATAATGCTGCAGTGTGCTCAGGCTGGTACGAATCCCGTTGGCTTTCCCCCGCAGGCCCCGACGCCGACCTGTGGTGGCGCATAGGGCAGGAGTTGTCTCGTAAGCCAGATTTGCACTGCACGGTTCTTTTCATTAATTCTCACCTCGGAGCCGAGCACATGATAGGAGAGCATTCGCCTAGGTACATTATCGTAGGCAACGCAGTAGCAGATGAGTTTGCAGCAGCTGGAGCTGCGGTGGCACGCTTGTCTGAAGGCACACGCGCACAAGTACATAGTGCTGAATATATGGCCTTTGCTGTACGCATGCGTATTTTACAGAGCACACTAGAGGCCATACAAGCAGAGGAGCTCTTGTCACAGGATGAGGGTTTCGGCATTCGGCGTAGGCATCGTAAATCTTCTGTGGTTGTGCAACCCCCTGCAGCAAGTGTTTGTGCAATGTTCGCCTCGTCGCACCACCTTGGTGAGAATGGCCGTTGTTGCACGCGTTGTAAGGGGTCGACCGCACTCGCATGTAAGAACGAGTGGCTGAGCTCACCGTGTTTCGATCTAATTAGTGTGGACGGCGTCATTTGTAGACCCCCTCCTGGGCAAAGGGTGCACATTATGGGGGGGTACGCTCATGGGTCTCACACTCTTCGGTATCACACGGGGCTGAGGTTGTGGTTCTGTTTCGTTTGCGGGAGTTATGCGGCTGAACAGCTGACACAGCTTGGCAAGGAATGCAGCACACGCCTCGACGGTAATCGAATCGATTACCGTAAGCGTATTATCCAGGGGCTGTGGCCTAAGGTTTACAGCAAGAAGGAGCAGGCCAGAAGAGCCCGGAAGCAGCGGGATTAACCTGCTTCCACTCGTAACCGACATAGTCGCCATACCCGTAACTCCGTAACTCCTCCTCCCTCCTCCTCCTCCTCCTCCTCCTCCTCCTCCTCCTTCTTCACAGGGTCCCTGTACAGATGGGGTTGGGGGATCACGCCGTATGGCCAATGCATCGCCGGTGCATTTGGGATGCATCGTCGACATCGGCGATACATCGGCAGCGTCGGCGTGGAGAAAATCGGGCTGCACATCGGGCCGCAGCGCCGATGCCCTCCGACCCGAGCTGCTAGGACCCCATAACGGAAGGGCTAGCACAATGTCAGAGATCTGGGAGCGAGGATGCTTTTTGGAGGAACATAAAGTACGACATAAAAACAAACTGTTAGAATTCCGCGCGGATTCATTGGATCGGCGCTGCACCTCTCTTCCCTGGCGCGCGGAGCGCGCCAGGAGCAGCACGGATGCGCCGCCAGGGGTTCCCAGCGAGGTCCGTGGACAGTTTAGGTGTCTACGCAACGAAAATACACAGACACCCTCCGACGAGCTTTGCATGTACCTTCAGGGAGGGTGGTGGTGTATAAAGTCGCTGGCTCCCAGTGGTGATCTATACAACGCCACCCTCCCCTGAGGCCCAAGAACAATCCATTCGAGGGTGTCTGTGCATATTTGTGCGACGGAGCCCAGTGCAGATTCAGGAACTCCGAGCGGCCCGTGGCAAGGTTAACGGCAGGTTCGTGCGGCGTCGGCGCGCACAGGCTTCTGACACCGCGCCGACCGTTAAGGCTTGAACCGATGGCGGCTCCGATCGTTCAAGGTTGGACTCCGCCGGGTCCTGTGGCGTTACCATGCCCCTCAGCTCTCTTCCGCGCCGCTGGCTGGAGTTAAGTCGGGCCTGTTACTCTACAGGGGGAATATTCAAAAATGGTAACAAGTAGTCTGGGGGCGATTTCTGAATATTTTTTGACTATTCTGATTTTTACGTATTTCTATAGGTTTCGTAGAAAATCCCCTCCACCCCCCCCCCCCCGGAGGGCGGCGCCCTCGAGGGCGCCCTCCTCGCAGGACCGTGGTCGAGGAGCGAGGGCGGAGGATCGAGGATCGAGAGGAGGGCTCGAGCTATCGAGGAGCGAGGAGCGAGGATCGAGAGGAGGGCGAGGGGTCGAGGAGGAGCGAGGAGGGTCGAGGGGAGCGAAGGGTCGAGAGGAGCGAGAGGGTCGAGGCTGCTCTTGCGCTCTGGGTGGCCCTCCCCGCTGCCGGCGCTCCACGCTGGCCGGCGGCGGCGGGGCCGCGGCGGAGCCCCGCAGGGCTCCGCGCGTGCGCGGAAGGGCCCGGCGCCGGGCGCGCGCGGGGGGCCGCCGGGGGCTCCCGCGGGCGGCCCCACCCGCTCGCGGGGCGGTGCGCCAGGAGAGCGTTTTTGCTGTTTTTCCCTCCATGAGTTGCCAGCCTCGAACGTATCCCTATCCCTAAGATTGACACGCCAAAAGGCGATGACAATCTTAGGGGTGCGCCCTCAAAAAATAAGGGAATCCCTGAGATTGGCATCGTGATGAGGAGATGCCCAGCATAGGGATAGGGATATGTTCAAGGCTGGTGAATGAGGCTTGCCTGAGCCCAGACATGCTCGCGTCGGGGAACAAAGAAAAAGCCAGGACGCGAGGTTTTGGGCCATTTTCGGCCCCGGGGGGCCCTCGCCGGGCCGCGGGGCCGTCAAACAAGGACTCGGGGCGAAAAACCGGTCCCGGGGAAGGGTCGGGACTCCCAGGGACGCCGTCCTGAAAAAACCTGGACGTCGCATGTCTGGGAGGGGCTCCTACCTGGGTAAAATGTTGGTGCCTCGGGAGGATACTGGGGCAATGCCCAGCAACACCAAGCAACGCCAGGGAACGCCAAGCAATGCCAAGCAATGCCAAGCACTGCGTCCATGCAATAGGAAGCTTCCCCCTGATTGGGGTCGCGCCAGGTTCGTTTGCTCGGCTACATGCCGGAGCGACCCTGGGTCAGAGTGGCCTTTGGTGCGCGACGTTCGTGGGCCGTGGGGGCGGGGGGGGCGAACCGGAGCGCGCAAGCCGGTGCTATAGCATTGCTTTCGGCCATCTGAGGGCCCCCGCGTGCCCGCACCAGAGGTCTCTCCGGAGCAAAGCCACTCTGACTACGTACAGCCGAGATTCGCGATAGCGGCCATGACCAGCACCGACCAGCCGCACCCACCGCCAGGTGACGTCATGATTTGCGTGCTCACCTCCGAGCGGGCGTTGGTTATTCCTAGACATTTGCGGACGGCGGCGGCGCGAAACGTGACGTTACCAGCCCCCCACCCCACCCCACCCCAACACCCGCAATGGCGAGACCAGAAGGTCCCAATGCCGCTAATCCCCACCTGGGGGTGCGTTCTGACCAGGATGTCGAGGCGAATCCAGTTGAGGCAACGACGAGGGCCTCCCAGGAGGCCCAAAAAGGGGAAAACGAGGGAAGGGTAAAGCCATGGGTACCTTTTTCCTCCTCTGAGGGAACGCCCGCTGTCGCCGAGGAAAAAAATAAAAACGCTATCCAGCGGGAGGCCGGGCAATGGCAAGGGGGGTCGCCGCCGAGGGGGGGGTCGCTCCGACGGACGTCCTCCTCGGCCCCCTCTGGGGAAACCAACGGGAAACCAAAATCCGCTACTCCCCAGACCTCCCCCGGGGTGCGCTCTGACCAGGATGGCGAGGCGAATCCAGCAGTGGCGACGAGGGCCTCCCAGGAAGCCGCAAAAGGAGGACAAGCGGGCGAGGGGCAGCGGTGTCGGTACCTCTTCCTCCTCTGACTCTCGTCGGCCGTCGCTGTCCAGCCGTCGTCGTCGTCGTCGCCGTCGTCGTCGCCGTCGTCGTCGTCGTCGTCGTCGCCGCCGCCGCCGCCGCCGCCGCCGCCGCCGCCGCCGCCGCCGCCGCCGCCGCCGCCGCCGCCGCCGTCGTCCGTCGTCGTCGTCGTCGTCGTCGTCGTCGTCGTCGTCGTCGTCGTGTCGTCGTCGTCGTCGTCGTCGTCGCGTCGTCGCGGCGGCGGCGGCGGCGTCGCGCGGCGGCGGCGGCGGCGGCGGCGGGTCGTCGTCGTCGTCGTCGTCGTCGTCGTCGTCGTCGTCGTCGTCGTCGTCGGCGGCGGCGTCGTCGTCGTCGTCGGCGTCGTCGTCGGCGTCGTCGTCGCCGTCGTCGCCGTCGTCGTCGTCGTCGTCGGCGTTGTCGTCGGCGTTGTCGTCGTCGTCGTCGGCGTCGTCGTCGGCGTCGTCGTCGTCGTCCCGCGGGAGCGCCCGAAAGCGCCCCGAGCCGCCGCAGGGGCCCGGCCAGTGGGGCCACAAGGGCCAGCTGCCGCCTCCAGGCAGCGGGCCCCAGGAGGAGGAGGAGGGGAGGAGGAGGAGGAGGGAGGAGGAGGAGGAGGAGGAGGAGGAGGGAGGGGAGGAGGGGGGGGAGGAGGAGGAGGAGAGGGAGGAGGAGGAGGAGGAGGAGGGAGGAGGAGGCGGAGGAGGAGGAGGAGGAGGAGGAGGAGGAGGAGAGAGGAGGCGGAGGAGGCGGAGGACAGGGAGGAGGAGGAGGGAGGAGGAGGAGGAGGAGGGCGGAGGAGGAGGAGGAGGAGGAGAGGAAGGAGGGGAGGAGGAGGAGGAGGAGGAGGAGGAGGAGGAGGAGGAGGAGGAGGAGGACAGGGAGGAGGAGAAGGAGGAGGAGGAGGAGGAGGAGGAGGAGGAGGAGGAGGAGCCCCCCCGACGGGCCCCAGGGGCGCCCAGGGACCCAGGGGGGCGTTTCGCCGAAGACTTCCTCACCATATGACTCGGAAGCTTCAAGAATGGCAACAGCTTCACCGATGGAGGACGGGTCGCTTTCAGAATGTGGCGCTCGCCTTCGCGCCGCGCACAGTCGTTTTAAACATCTGCAAGAGTTCACGATTTGAAGGCGGTACCTTTTCAAAATGAGGCTCTCGCCTTAGCGCCGCGCACATTCGTTTTAAACATTGGCAAGAATTTCATGGATTGAGGGCGGGTCGTTTTCAAAATGTGGCTCTCGCCTTAGCGCCGCGCACATTCGTTCTAAACATCTGCAAGAATTTGACGGATTGAGGGCGGATCGTTTTCAAAATGTGGCTCTCGCCTTAGCGCCGCGCACATTCGTTGCAAACATCTGCAAGAGCTTCACGGAATGAGGGCGGCTCCTTTTCAAAATGTGGCTCTCGCCTTAGCGCCGCGCACATTCGTTTTAAACATTTGCAAGAGTTTCACGGGTTCCCATGATCAACGTGCCAGAAATGGTGTTTTGGAAGGGTTCAGGATTTCGCGGCGTGAGCACAACAGTTATTGATCCGCCGTGAGAAAGAAACAAAAGCGGCGTTCTGGCACGATTCCATATCGTCAAGACGCAGCAGTCAGGTTGATACGCGGCGTTGAAAATCCCGAGAGCAATGTTTTGGCACGCGTCAGGATCTTCAAACGGTTGTCTTCCAACGAGGCAGTTCCCTCAATGAAAGTGAACCGCTGCAGGGGCCTACGAAGAGGGAGCGTGGAGGGAGGGTTCATTCCAACATCGTTGATGACTCTTGGGTTTACACTAGTCCTCCTCCTCCTCCTCCTCCTCCTCCTCCTCCTCGTCCTCCTCCTCCTCCTCCTCTCCTCCTCCTCATCCTCCTCCCTCCTCCTCCTCCTCCTCCACCTCCTCCTCTCTCTCTTCCTCCCCCCCCTCTCCTCCTTCTCTCCTCCTCCTCCTCCTCCTCTCTTCTCCTCCTCCTCCTCCTCCTCCTCCTCCTCCTCCTCCTCCTCCTCCTCCTCCTCCTCGATCCACCAAGACCCGCCCTCCGAACCAGACCCGAACGTTTACCCCTATCCCCAGGATCGGCGAGCCAAGGGCGATGACAACCTTGGGGATGTGCCCCTGGAAACTGAGGGAATCCTTACGATCGGCGCCGGGGTAGGGTGATGCCGAACATATAAGAGGCCTCCTCGATGGGGTCCGAGCAATTGGGGTCGAAGGATCGCGCCGATGTCGCCAATGCATCGCCGACGTATCGGCGATGCATCGGCGATGCGGCGCGACCCTCCAACCACATCTACTCGGACCCCATCTGGGAAGCCTAGAAATCTTTACGATCGGCACCGAGGTACGGTGACGCCAAACATAGGGATCGGATAGGAGTATGCTTCAAATTGGTAACCTCCTCCTCGATCCTCGATCCTCGGTCCTCCCTCGAGCCCTGGTGCTCGACTCCCAGACGAAGAGGCGATGGGCCCCCTTGGCACTGCCCGAAGAGAGGTGGCCGCCCGGAAGGCGGAGGGCGCGTGCTCGTATCCGGGGGGAGGGGGGAGACAAAAGTCAGCAGCAGCAGCAGAAGAAGAAGAAGAAGCTGCACAAGCTATAAGCACACGGCGCCCATGCACCGTACCATGTCTGGACTCCCCTCAGGCCCCGATTCGACGCGGCAAGTGCGGTGCATACTGGTTCCCGCTCGAGGGGTCGGGGACAAAAACTCATCGTACCATTCCTGGGTCAAGGATAGACGACGCCTCGGGAGACGCCGACGTGGCACGGTGCAAATGAGAAGTCCGCGGATGAGCGTAGACTTCCGGATGCTCGCGCCCGGAGTTCTGAGGTCGGCGCTGGGCCCCCTGGAAGCGTCTCCAGCGCCGCCCCTGGCGCGCTCCGCGTGCCAGGAGAAGGGGGCCAGCGTCGATCCATGACAGGGCTCGACTTAAACAGTGCTGTTCGTGCTGTTTCGCTTTGTTCCTCGTTTTCGTTTTCGTTGTCCCCGACCTAAGCAGTGCTTAACGTGTTTTCGTTGCCCCTCGCTTCTTTTTCTTCCGAAATTCGCCTTTGCTGCAAAACGGCATCGAAACAAAACCGGCCAACGACATCGCCAGAACACCGATTAGGCCCACCCCAGATCCATGAAATCCGCACGGAAACTCCGACAAAGTTGAAACTTTTGCCACATGTTCTTCTTCGGGGAATGGTACGCACAGAGACATACTGATACTATTCCGATCCGAACACAAAGTATACCCACCTTGTAGCATGTCCTTCCCCGAGCGGTGTGGCCAGAAAGCGCCACGACGCATATACTGTAAGATTTCTCTGTGCGCGCGTCGCCCCTGGGGGGAGCGACGCACCTACAGTATGAAGTGGGGCCTGTCCCTCCACAGGGGGAATATTCAAAAATAGCTCAAAAATGGTCCGGGAAGGACTGTTCCTTATTTCTGGGCACTTTGGGATATTTTGTCGGGGTATCTTGACCTTCTCGCCCAGAACTCCCCTGTAGGGGGACACGCCCGACCGAAATACAGTACAATAGGGGCTCGACCACAAGAAACCGGCCAGAAGAAACCCAACCTTGAGACCCCAGGGCGCCCATTCACTTTTGGCGTGGGCACGTCGCGCTTTCTATCGCAGAACCCTCGAAGCCCAAGAAACCCAGGGCACCCTGGGGGCGAGCAGGGTGCTTCTTGGCATGGGTCTCCACTGTACGAGGATGTTGGGGCGACGCCGATGGCGCGCCGAGCGAAGGAGCGAAAGGGCCCTCCTGTGGCCACGGCGGGGCTCGGCCGCGCCCAGGCCTGGCCATCGCTCGGACGTCTGATCCCCTGCGCTTTTTTGTTCGGTCTCGCGCGTGTTTTTTTTTGTTCCGCAGGATGGTCCAGGATGCTCAATCAGAATCCCCGCCGAGACAAAGTGCACGCGTCCGAGCGATGCCAAGCAGGTGCCCCGACCCGAGCCCGAGGACTGGCCCGAAGACCAGCCCCTGAAAAGCGGACCTGACCGGGGCTCGCCCAAGGCGATGCGCTTCGTTTTCGTGCCGCTCTCGTGGTCCCTCGCTTCGTATTTTTCCATCCGCCCCTGCTGCAGAGCGAGCTCGAAACGAGAGCGGCCCGCGATGTCGCTTTATGTCGACCCCTGGACCTGACTCCAGCGTTTCGACTGTAGACTTTCGAAGGGCCGCACGGATTTCTCGGATCGGCGCCAGAGGCGCCGCCAGGGTGCCCCAGCGCCAATCCAGGAAATCTGCGCGGACCTCCCACAGGGTATGCTTATGCAGCTTCTCCTTGTTGTTATGACTGTTATGCTTCTTACTCTTCGAGGGAGGGAAGAACATGGAGGGCTGTGAGGATTGGAAGACGCGCACAGCCTAAATAGGCAGTGCGATGCTCTTATCTGCACCTGCCAAGACCTGGCTCAGCCAGCAGTCGGTGACTTCGCGCCCAAGGCGGCGCCGCCTTGCTCAGAGGAGCTAGACGGGGTCGGGGGCCAACGACTCGGGCTCACACGGCCAGGCCCGTCTTGGGATCGTACTCCGCCTCGACCAAGAGACCGTCCTCGTACTTGACCAAGTCGTACTTGCCAGTTCTGAGAAGGCCGGCCGGTGTGTTGGACCCAGCCTCGCCGGGCTCGTAGGCGCGGAGTGCCGACGCCGGGCCGCCGCCGATGGAGCCGTCGGGCCTGATGGCCGGATCCTCGCCCCAGGCACCGCAGCGCACGCCGCCGGCCTCCTCCAGCACCCGGCGGACCTCCCGGAAGGCGCCGAGGTCGGGGCGCACCGCCAGCGAGCAGTCGTCGAGGCGGTTCACCTGCTCGAAGCTGTTCATACGGCGGTCGTAGGCCTCGTGGTGCTCGAAGTGCGAGGAAGAGAGAGCGGCGCAAGCACAGACCCGCGGGGCTCCGCGGGGACCTCCTGGATTGGCGCCGGGCCCCCTCCCCCTCCCTGGCGCGCGGGGGCCCAGCGCCGACCCGAGGAGCCCGCGCGGGCCCTCAAGCACTTGTCCTTTTGCGACGCGCTCTCTCGCGTCCTCGAGATGTGGGCAACCACCAGGTCCAGGGGCGTCTGCAGCGCAGCCGTGGCCGGCACGTT